TTTTTTTTCTTTGTGCCTACTTTGAATATTAGTCTCATTCTTGGTTTGGTGGTTGATAGATAACAAAATGTTTGAGTAGGATACTGTTTCCTGTCTGATAACTCAAATTGCTTAATATGAAAGCCATCTGTTGTTATAAGACCAGAAAGAAATTTGATTTGCTTTCCTGAACTGAGGCAGGAATGGGTGTGTGGGAGGGGAAAGGGGGGTATTTTTGACAGGTAATTAAGTTTTGGCAGACATTTGAAGTATTAAACTTAAATTTTTATTTTCTAAATATTTACCAAGACCACATAATATGTAAGAGGACATCATTCCTCAGATTCAGATAGTAGCCCTTCTCTATTCTTAGAGAAATGAGTATTTTTTCTCCTTATTTCACATGAGGCACTGCTAAAGAGTGACTTTTTTCCCCTCTGTCCTTCCGTAGCAACTTCAGAAATATAAATTTGTAATTTTATTTCCAACATCTTCAACCTCTTAACTGTAAACTGGTGCCTGTCTGATGCCTCATTTTCACTGAATAGTGAACTCAACCAGAGATCAAATTATGGAGTTTGGATCTAACTCAGAACTTCGCAGACTTTGCCTTGGAGCAGGTGCTCTGTACGCGCAAGGACAATGAAGGGCTGAGTGAACCACTCTCAGCTAGATACTGGGGTATGGATGACGAAGGAAGAAAAGAGACAAGAAATGAAAGGCACCTTCTTGAAAACTCATGATCTGGAGTGCGAACAAGATGAAAAGCGATATTTTCATAACACTATATCCCAGATTGTTTCACGGGCACTGATAAAATGTTCATGTGGTGGGAGTTCTTGCCGCTTCTTTACTTTCTCTGTCAAGGTCATTATATCATCATTTCATCCAGGCTTTGCCTCCAGTGTCCACTTACCACTAACGTTCCTCCAAACCCAGAACATTGCCATTTCAGAATGCCCCAGTTTTCCTTGCATCTAAACTTAACCTTCATTTTCTCTGAGTTCTTCCCTCAATACTGGAACTCAGTTTTTGACATACGCTGCTTCGTGTGTCAACACACACTGGAGGTGGTCTCTCATTGTTTTCTTTGAACTGGATTGTTTTGCCAAATTTATGTCTGCTGGAATTTGTAAATTATATATTTGTAATTATTATTAAAATATGTAAAATTGAAGCCAACCCCTATCTGAATTTATTGTGGTGGTTAAGCTAGTTCTCTCTTTAAATTGTAAAAATATGCTTTCATTTATTACAAAATGCTACCGGGCCTAGCATGCCAGTGTTTCAAGTGGAATGACAGTTTCACCTAAAATACAACATGGAGACCTGAGAAAGGATGGAGTTCAGATGCAGACTCAGAAGGGTGTTTGGGAAAATTAAAAAATGCCTCCTAATAAATAGATTTGCTTTTTAAAGCCCTAGGTTGAGATGTATATTTTTGAAGGATAGTACTTGTACATTCTGGAGATGAGAATGTGCGGGAGATACAGCTGTGCTTTCTGGCAGCCCACTGATCACCTGGTTTGATGCCATACTTGTATGAGGCCCACATTAATACCTTGTTTTATTATGATAATAGGTATCAGATGGGAATAATTGTTAAATAAAGCTGTTTTACTCTGCTTTAATTTTGTTTAATTTT